TTCATACCCTTGTGGGATGCAATTTTTCGTTATTTTGAAGCCCCACCTTGGCTCTTGCCGGGGGCCGCAATAAAGTCAGGCCATAAATATAGTCTAATGGCTGAACGCGGTTTCTGGGACCTCTCTAGGGGTGATCCTCATCCACATGGTGGCATTTGTGATCATCAGGTGTTTATCGCTTGTGTGATGTCCTAGTGAAGTAAAAGTACTACTACTACGCACGCTTACAACGACTTGGCAAAGTAAATTACTTGTTACTTCATCACCTGGAAAAAAACTTGTCTGGATAATATATAGTCTGAAAAATCGTGAGCTAGATTATTGAGGTTTGAACAATGGATCAACATCATGGCACATGGGTAGTAGTAACCCCTAGGTGCTCCGTTCTTCTTCTAACTCAAGTCTGAGTCTGAAAAAGCTCAGCACAGTCTACAAGCTCTGTAGCACCAGCGAGGATCCCGAAATACTTTGGGTAGATTTTAAACTCCCAATTTTGCCTGGGCAGCACTGTTAGGCTACTCTTTTCGATTTCTAACTGCCAAGGGATTTTTTGTAAACGTGCGCAACAATGCACACGGGCGCCCGATCTCGCTACCCAAAGACCAGGGGGAATTACTAGAAGTCAAAGTCCACGTGAAAAAATCCCTCCCTTACCGGGGCACCCGGCACCTCTAGCACTCAAGGCGGACTCCATGCCTCAAGACCATGCAGTCCTAGATTATTGAGGTTCTACTGTATTAGCAACATGAAAAACCACGCTAGGGTTTTTCTTAAGATTAGGACTTATTTTCAAGAAAACATGAAAGAGAGGTAATTAACGATTCCTCAACTTTATCATATGACATAACAGAAAGGTCAATAACTATATAATTGATCTGTCAAACGACAGAAAAAATAGGTCAACAACTAAAACCCAGATGACTGTTTTAGTGAGGTCAAGTCCTGGGAAGTCAAGCTGACTGGCCTGATGTTGATTACAACACCCACCAAGGGCCTTCTTTTTCTTCGTGTTAACTGGCTGTAAATTCCAGTAGAAAGAGCTGGTTGTTTGACCACTTTAGTATGTTAGACTTGCATATACATCCATGTGAAAGATGCGACTCTTTGTATGCAGCGTTGATTTTTCTCTTCTCAGGTAGATGCACTCCACCTTTGAAGGAAGGTTAGTTGCGTATCCTTTATAGGACATTGGAGAACCAACCCCAAACAGCCCCTGGCTGTTGTGTGGTTTTTTCTAGACAAATTTACGTCCAGTAGTTTGCCATAGCTTTCTGGACGGTCGGCTTTTTTGATACCACTGTGGAAACCAAAGCAAGGCCCATGGCATGCAGCTGGAATCGAACCCAGAATTATGAAGTGTTCGCATCGATTTAGCCACAGAGCCGACCTTTGAAAGAAAGGCTTCTAATAATATACCTTTTACAACATGTTTGTTGGGAGGTGGAAGTAGTGGCTCAACCCCATTCCCCAATGAGGCCAGGAACCCTCACAAACTGCCTGTACCAATTTTACTCGATCATTCCTGTGCAGGTTTCAGAATCAAATTGGGGAAAGAGGGATAAAATGAACCTGGTACCAATTAACAAGCACGAGGTAAAGACGATTAATTAAGGATTTGCTTAAATCAGATGTGTTTGGCCAATTTGTGCAGATATCCCAGCCTAGCTGTGAACCGCAGAACAAATTACCAACCACCCTTTATAATAAACACAGAAGAAAACTATGTCAACCTGAGTGCTAAGGGTTTTAAACCAAGACCTTCGTGCTGGCAAATGTCTAGCTACTTTGCCAAGCCAGCTTCCAGTGACATGCCTGTTGTATTAGTTTACTGTGCAACTTACTGCACAGTCCCCTTTGTGGATTGCGGAGGCCTCATTGGGGTGTGGGGGGCAGTCATACTGCCTCCCTAAGAAAGAACATATCCACTGTGCCGGGTCATTAACAATCATACTGTGTCTAATTTGGGTGTTTCCTTCGAAGTCAGAGGGAATCTGCCTGAGAGGTGAGGAACCAACAGTCGGCACACAAATTAGCCACATCTGTAAAATGGATGCACACACAAAAGTCACGCCCAGGAACTAAGTCTAAGTCCAGAAGTGGACAAACAACCAGGAACTCTCATCGGAGTTTACAGCTTGTGAATGCAAACAACAAACACTGCACAGTAACAGCATTAACTCTTTGAGTCCCAATGAACGCATGATGCGCCGATTTTATTACTTTCTTTACTACCCACTGTGATGCTAAACCCCCTGGGACTCAAAGAGTTAAGACACGAGAATTTGAAACATTTTCCATCTGGCATGAAATTGACTTGTTTGGTAACCGCAGTTGGTTGCATTAATAAGAACTGAACGAGGACTGTTTAAGGCTCGTAATTCATCACTCTACTTCTAAACACCACCATTCTGTCCAATCAGACTACATTTAATTAACTGCCAAAAAAAATGAAATATACATCACATGACATTTTATTAATTCCCAATTAAATGAGTTTATTAATTGCCAAACAAATGGCACTTTATTAACTGAAACAAAGAAGCCATAAAACAATAGACTGCATAATTTACCGCTTGACATATTTCACTGTTGATCATCAGGAACATACTGTGCTGTTTGTCTCTTCTTTGTTCACATTTACAACAGGGAAATGTTGCTCTGATTTTATTAATTAATCAATGAAGTGCCACTTTTTTTATTGGCAACATGACCATTTTATCAGTATGTCTTCATCACCACTGATAGGAGACATTTTAACCAACTTTTCATGGGAATAATCGATAAAGTCATCTTGGAGTGACTGCTGCATCAGGGAACTGGGAATGCTCAAAGTGCAGTTACAAAGATTGTAAAACCATAACTTCAAATTTTAACAATTTCTAATTTTATCATTGACAACCAGATGACTAGCTAATCTCTATTTATTGTGAAGATTGGGGGCCTTCATCGGCGACCGGGTTGCTCATTGGCTGGCCAGCAGACAGCTTTGACACCAATCAGGACACTATCCGTGTCTGTCTCCTCTAATCGCATCAATACTGCAGGATTCCTTTTCGGTACTCTTGGTGGCGAGCAATGCTAAGTCATTTTACATGGCACTCACAACCTAGTCATAACTATAACCTACAGCTCTCCCTTCAGGGATGCTGGTTGAGTGAGACGATTCTTTCCAGCAAGGCACCTACCATGACTGGGACCTAACACTCCCAAAAGAAAGAAGTTCTATGACGTATCCACTACAGCCCAATGTTAATGAATCCATTCGTCCTGAGAAGCTGCAAAACTAACATACCCAGATGGGCAGAATTCTTCTTGAATGTCACTTTTCTGACTTGTCTATAGTGACCTGTTTAAGCAAGGTATAATGAATGCTACTGGTTGTTTTCATGCCTACATAAACAGTTAGCAGGCCATGATATGACTGCAGGAGCTAACAACGGAATTTAAAGTCATTAATTTAGACAAATAAATTTTTTTTTTTTGGGCACACGTATTAGCGACTTCAGTAAAATTGTTTATTTCAGGATTTTTTAATGGAATCGTGGTCCTTTTTTAGCGTTACCAGGGTAAAAGGGTTTACCTATTAAGAAAGTGACACAATGTTACTGCAATAAAAGTAATTGTCACCCACTGTCAGATACTGCCACAGGGATATGAAGTGAAGGTTGTTTAACATAAATAAACTAAAGAGTTGAGGGAAAGATGACCAAACCCTTTTAACTTGGTCTTAGTCTCCTTCCGAGAAAAAACCTGCATCCAAACTGTACGAGGTTTGGCCGAAAGTATGGCGCTGATGAGAAAATATGCGGAAGTTATCTAGTCGGGGTTGAACCAGGAGCGGCAGTAGAGCATCCTCCCGAGAAAAAACCTGCATCCAAATTTTACGAGGTTAGGCCAAAAGTATGGCGCTGATGAGAAAATATGCGGCAGTTATCTAGTCGGGGTTGAACCAGGAGGGGCAGTAGAGCATCCTCCCGAGAAAAAACCTGCATCCAAATTTTACGAGGTTAGGCCACAAGTATGGCGCTGATGAGAAAATATGCGGCAGTTATCTAGTCGGGGTTGAACCAGGAGCGGCAGTAGAGCATCCTCCCGAGAAAAAACCTGCATCCAAACTGTACGAGGTTTGGCCGAAAGTATGGCGCTGATGAGAAAATATGCGACAGTTATCTAGTCGGGGTTGAACCAGGAGCCGCAGTAGAGCAGCGACTAAACTCTCACCTGCGGATCGGAAGCTCATGGGTTTAGGCCCTGACGGATCCGGATTTTTATCAATTTTTCCCTTGGCTCCGAGGTCGTCACAGCCTTGAGAGGGCACCAGGTATATTCCTGGGAAGTAAAGTGACTGGGGCAAAGCTGACCACATCAGCAACCCAGTGCCAACTGGTCTTCAGAGTATAGGTCTAGCCCTATATACCCAAAGGCGTGGGAAAGGGTCCTGTACTTTACTAACTCACTATTTGCCCAATGTGTCAAAGGCGTGGAACTTGTCCTTCACTTATATATATATATGTGTGTGTATATATTTATGTGTGTGTGTGTATATATATATATATATATATATATATATATATATATATATATATATATATATATATATATATATATATATATACACACACACACATACACACATATATATACATACACACACACACATATATATGCAAACCAAGACAATAGAAAGCTATCGGACATCCCTTAATACCACACCCAACTTGACACACACTTAAGTAAGGTGTTTTTGTCACGAATGCTCATTCATTAGCAACAAGTTCAAAAACATATTTATACGGAAATCATAAATGTATATAGAGCTACCAATCTCAACAACTCATGGTCATAAACAATAATTCAATTTAAAAATGTAAAAATACTGATCACAGCTGAAAGAAAACAAAAACAATAAAAATATAAACATGTTCATGTGTGGGGGGAAAAACGTTCTAAAAATCATGGAGTCGCCCAATACCAATAAAATTCACCCGGAATGTTCTGAACTAATAGTCTTCATCTTGGAAGTCTGCTTCGTTGAAGTTGTCGTCTTCCAAAGAATCGCTAGAAGCACTGAGTTTCTCGTTGCTGACATCAGTTGCAGTGTATCTGGGTAGACAAGTCATCATCTGTTCTGGGTACAGCCAAGGCTTGTACTCGGGACGGTTCTTGGCTTTCCAACTACTGTAGTTTTTGGCAGCTTTGTAAATTCGATTGATGACCTAGAGTACAAAATATACATAATAAAAAATATACATAAAATAAGTGTATATATTTTGTAAGTAGATAGAAATGTGGGGGGGGGGGGGGGGGGGGGGAGCTACACAGATGGATCGACTAACAGACATAACAGAAAAACTGGACACAAATACTGACACACAGATTAAGATACATTAGACAGACAGATACATTAGATGGATGAACAGATAGTTAGGCAGGCTGATAAGTAAGCAGACAGAAAGATAAAAGATAGAATTCCAAAGATGGACAGACAGAATAAGCACATTTTATTGTAAAAGGGTTAGGAATGAAGCACACAAGCCAGCCTTACATTCTGCCCTTCTGGCATCATTCCTTGCATACATTTTTCCTTAGATAGGTAACAGATAGATAGATGGACAGAATAAAGCACTGGTATTTATACAAGACACAAAAATGCATAAACATCACTGCCGCAATAGGGTGTCCCCGGGTGCACACCAAGATGACTCTCATTACTTCATTCTGGACACGCTGTTGTCATCCACACTGTGAGAATGATCAAGTCAAACAAAGCCAGCTGGAGATCCTGTATCATAAACCAACCCCAGCCTTTCAGGGCTGTTTGTAGTTTTACTCAGCAATTTTTACATTTGGTAGTCTGCCGCTGCTTCTCAATTTCTGATGCTCCTACTGTTGACGAAATCAAAACAAACTAGTTTGTTGCCAAATTACCTGTAGGTGATTCAAACCTTGGATGTTTGAGTTATGAAACTGAGTTGATAACTCCTAAGACAGAGAAGCTAATGAATTTAAAAAAACTAAACAATTTTGAATACTTTTTGTTTTCCTGTTCACCTGCTGTAAACTATGGTTGAAAGTTCTAGCTGTTCGCCCACTTCTGGTCTTTTATTCATATTCCAAGACTTGAGTTTTGCATGCAAACGCATTTTACAAATCTGACTTTGTGTGCAGACTGTTGGTTCCTTGCCTCTCAGGCACGTGTCCTCCAATGGAAACCATTAATCAGTTGACTATTATGACAGGCTTGTTAGGAATTTTTTTCAAATTTCCCCTTGGCTCTACTCTTTTGGTTTCCTCCCGTAAATAGGCCTCTGAACCCATACAGAGAAATTCTGAATTACTAGGACAAAAAACATACAGATAAAACTGGCACAAACCTTTGGTGCAAACATTCTTGTCAATTTGTTCATAACCCATGCTGGAAGGTTACCTATACGGGAAAACAGTATCATCATCATACAGGGCAGAGTAATTCACATTATGATAGTTATTCTGTAAACATTCATCTTATTTTTTTTGTAGCAGTATGTCGTATACAAGATCTGAATATCAAGGGAAAACTGGCCCATAAACAGTATTTTTTTCTGTCCTGCGAATGTTTGAAGAAAAAAAAAAGGTCATTAACAAATGGAAATTTCTGGTAAAAAAATCCTTTAAAAAAACATTACATGTGTCACTAATCAATTTTCAAAAATTTAATGAAGAAAGCTGCAGGAGATGCGGTAGCTGCTGATCGTAAGTCTCAGCCATCTAGTTTACCCCAATCCACACCGTGCGTAGCGGCGTGGCAGATATTCTCGGCGGTGACAGAAGTCGCCAGAAGTGCGCAATTTAGGTCGCCGGAAGTCCGCAATTGACATGTGAATGAGGCCCTGTTAGGGTATATTTTCGGCTTCGCTAATTTGGGACCGTTATTCGGAGGATAGCCATCGAGTGACTCATGCCAGGACTCAGTGACATCAATCACTGAGGCTTACGGGAAAATTTGACAACAACTTGGCTTCCACAGCCATTTATGTCATACAGAAACCACCCTAAATGATATTTTTAGTTACTATACTCATATCCTGCCCTACTAAACACTGCGCAGGTGCACATAGGGCCATATATTGGCAATTATGTGAGTGCCACAAACATAAGTGACTGCATTTAATCTTCTTGTGGAGACTTGGTTAAATCTCATAATGGTCTGGAGCTAACAGATATGAGGGTACGGTTCCTGGAAAGGAGGCAGGGGTCAACCAGCATGATGGGGGACACAGAATTTCAAGGACCTCCTGGGAATGTAAGTTCATGCAGCGAGAAAATTGGAAGGGGGCCAATTAAGAATTGAGATAATGGAACACTGGGCACACTCACGGATGCTCTGTCTCCCACGGCACATTGGGCACACTCACGGATGCTCTGTCTCCCACAGCAAATGTCTCAAGGTGAAGATGCTAACTGTTTCCGCAGTACACTGATTATACACACGTCATTCTCTTCCTTGCCGGATTCACATCTAATTCCACATTCTTACCCATTATGTCATCTTACCCATTATGTATTCTATCAGCATCCATTCAGAATATCTCAGTACAGTATGAGTGTTCCTGTAGCTATCCCTTCTGTAGCAAAAAAATCTGCTCTTTTATTTTCATAGACTCCTGCATATTCTGAATAGCATATTTATGTGAGTGCCTGTTATGTTAATGGTGTGTTTCTTTTTAACAAAATTTAAAAAAAGCCTTTTTTTCAAATGCTTATGCGGCGAAGGGCCACTACTTGCTTGCCTGCCAAGATGGGAGTAAAAAAATTTTTAGGGTTGTGTGTCAATCTCCGGCTCTGAGTTAATTGTTTGTTTGTTTTAGTATCCGGAAGCCATGAGTTGTTAACCCGTAGGCTCGGCATTATGGATATCGCAATGTGGCTTTCATGCCTACCCCCGGGAGCGAACCCGGACCACAAGGAGTTCGTCACTCGGTCACCGTGCAATGCGGTTTAGCCAACTACGCTAGAGAGCCGGGCCTCTGAGTTAATTCAGCCTAAAATAATAATTTCAAACATTTTCTGCGAACAGTCTAGCAAGGTTCCGGCATTGATTCCACAGTCATAATTTGGGAGAAAAAGAACAGACCCTCTAGTCTTTAACAAGCATGTTGTAAATGGCGACTAATTAGTGGGTTGCAGAAATTGGACGGGGTGGCCTTTAAGGTGCAGATGTTGCAGTCTAACTGTAAACCACAATACTACATACCAACCACCCTTCAAACTTTTGTTGTGTTTGGGGTGTGTTTTGTTTTACTAGGTAATTTTATGTTGTTTTGTCTGCCACTGCTTCATACCAACGTAAAAAAACACAGCAGGTATAATTTCTCTTTATAAATTGTTCTGTCTCCACAATTTTGTTATACGTACTATGATTACTGTGTAAGTTCCTGGTCCCAATGTGAGGAAGAAAAGGAGTAGACCCACTAACCCTCAACTCCCTCCCAACAAACTCATAAAATTAGACAAATTAGGGGTGTTTCTTTTAAAGTTTGAAGTCAGAGTGCATGTGCCCGAAAGGCGAATAATCAAAATTCTGCAAAGACTAAATCAGATCTGTAAAACAGATGTGAACACAAAACTCACAAACTCTGGAACAAGACTAAAGTGCAGAAGCAGATAAACAACCAGGAATTTCCACTGCAGTTTACAGCTGGTAAATGCGAAAAAGAAATAGAAGAAGAAGAAGAAGAGAGACTATTCTCTGAAACTGTAACCACTGACAGAACATATGTAAAAAGTGCTAATCACTAACAGCCATTTTTGCGGGCTGTCTCTACAATGAAAGTTGACTGCATCCACTGCTGTCTTTGAAAATTTTACCTGATGAGGTCCCAATCTCTTCCAAGGTGCGACTCTCCTTCCACTGCCTGAAAGCTAGGAGAACCCTCTTTATCTAAACCACCCACTGTGGGTATCGAACTCTGGTTGTAAAAACTGAGTAAAGAATATCTTTATAATAAGAAAATCTTGAGTGAAAACAACAACAAAAACCATACCCTTAGGGTCAGACTGTGTGACGTATGTGAGCTGTATTTTGTTGTCATCAAGCTTGACAATGTAATACCCAGTTAAGTAGGATATTCCTCTGATCACTCCTTTCGTTGGCGGCCTTGCCTAAAGTGAGTGGAAAATAATGCAATTTTAAGGCTTGTGGTGGAACAGAAAACAATTTATAAGACATGCGGTCTTGTCTTAATCTGATTAAATATTAATAAGACTTGTGTTTTAACCGAACTTAGTGAAATACGAAACCATTATAAGACATGTGGTTGTGACTGAATCAGGTGAAGTTTAAAGCACTGATAAGACATGGTCTTGTGTGTTTCTGGTGCACTATAAAGCAATGATACGACATGTGGTCTTGCCTAAATTTAATGGAATATAAAGCAAAAAGAATTTTGAGGTTATCTGAATTGGTGGAAAATAAAGCAATAAGACTAGTGGCCTTGTCTAACCTGGTGGAAAGCAATTATAAGACAAACAAAATTGTTGACATTTGCAGAAACATAAATAATAAGACATGTGGTCATGCCTGACTTTCAATGAATACAAAGCAATGAAAAAACCTAAAAACTGCTTAAATTTGGCAGAACATAAAACAGCAAAAAAGACCCAGACAAGGACACAGTACAACAGGGACACTTTGGGCAAGAAAAATGCACACGCCAAAGGAACTAGCAGGGGCCTGATATTCTGACTGGCAGACTTAATGGAAGCCATGTTGTGCAGAGCTTTCCAAACTTATAAGTTTAGGGACACACTTTTGAGAAGAAAACGTAATTGTATGAAAGTAATTCAGTCTACTAGCAAACTAAAGTTTAAATTAACCCCTCACAAGAGATACAGAAACATAAATTGTAATAATAAAATATGCCACAACAAAACCTATTAAAAACCTTTCATTTATATTAAAAACAGAATATTTCCAAGATTAACTGCTATAACAATAAAAAAAAAATTTTAATTGAACAACACCAACTAAACATAAATAACACCAGTTTGTGCAACACACCTTCACACAGCAGCTAACAAACAGTTTGAAAAGCTCTGTGCCTACAAGACGATGATGATAAAGCAATAATAAAACAAATATCTTGTATATTATACCCCATCGGGACATCACACAAGTGGTAAACACCCGGTGACACAAAGTGCCACCATGTGCATGAGGATCACTTGGGAGAGGTCAGAGAAACCCCTTCAGCCGCTAGGCTATATAAGGCCCCCGGCAAAAGCCAGGGTGGATGAAACACATATCTAAATTTGGTTGAACATAAAGCAATTATATAACCAACGTTGGTGGAGTATAAAGTAAATATGTAATTCAATTTTGCGGAACATAAATTAATTATAGTGAGATACAGAGGAAACGAGTGCTCGGCTAGTACCGAAGTTACGTATTTGTGGTGGAAAAGCTAAGTACTATCAAGCTTTCATGTTTGTGACCCAAAAAAAAAAAATTTCATTTACAACCAAAGAAGTGTAGCAAGTTATACAGAAACCTACTTCTACCCTGGACAAAAAAAGAAAACAAAGAAGTGGTATAGCAAGATATATTAGAGACCACTTTTATTCCGTGCAAACAGATGAGTATTTCCCATCTGTCCATGCAAGCAATCTAAAATCCATTTCTTTATTTCTTCCTAAGGGAGAGAATTCATAATTTCTATAATCATCTTGTTTGGTTCAGTGATTGTTCTTTTCTTTAGATTTTTTTGTAGTTGGTACAACCCAGAGAGGATTGTGGATAACTTCGTAACTTAGGACACCCCAACATAAATGTAGTTAGATGAAGAAACAGGATTTCCTTCTATTTGATTCTCATCAGGGGCAACAATAAAATCTTAACTCCCTGAGTGAGTTCTGGGGGGGGGGGGGCCACTGTGGGGAAAAGAAGGAAAAGACCTGCTGCCTTCCCAAAAGCGTGTGGTAAGAGTCGACTAATCAACAATCTGCATGCAAATGAGTCAGACCTGTGAAACAGATGTACACGCAACACTCAGTTTCTGGAACAGGACTGGAGTCCAGAAGAAGACGAACAACCAGAACTTTCCACCGGGGTTTACCTCCTGGTGAGCATGAAGAAGAAGAAGCAGAAAATCCTAACCCATACAGTCCATAGCAACAGCACTAGCCATGCTGCCTCAAATGCTCAGGCTCAAAGACATCCCCTGCCTCTACTGCAAAAGTAGTAAATACTGGCTGTATTGCAAACAAAAATACTCACACTGTGGTTCACTGAGTGGTTGATGATCATCTTCTCATTGCCAGTGTCTAGCCAAGATCTTTGAGTGACAAAATCTCTGTTCTTTAATGGTGGAGGACATCGAACTAGAGATGGTATGGACAAACAGTCAACAAAAACATCTAAAACAACTAATAACTCTCCCTAAGAGAGTGCTAAAATGTTTCACAGAACCTGTTCTGTATGGCAGCGAATCTTGGAATGTCAGTGAACAAATTAGGAAGAATTTGGAAGCAACCGAGATGTGGTTTCTGAGGTGAATGTTAAGAATACCTTGGATGGCCAGAGTAACTAACAACGATTGCTTGAAAGAAGCTAATGAAAGTAGATCTCTTTATACAACAATAAGAAGGAGACAAACACTGTTCTTTGGCTATGTAATGAGAAGAGAGGCATTGGAAAACATCGTAACAACTGGAAAGATCAGTGGAAAGAGGGGTAGAGGCAGACCAAGAGAGATTATGCTGGATGGGCTGAAATTATGGCATGGAGGGATAACATCAAGAGTTCCAGGCAACCAGGGACCGTGATCTGTGGAGATGCACCAGCGCCTACGCTAGTTTAAATAATAAATTAGTTTAAATACTTTAAATAATTATTGCAATAGTGCTGATCTATTTAAACATCGGGCTGTTTATTCTTTACATTCCGTGGCTGTAAACTCGCGCAAAAAGATAGGGCTGTTTGTCCACCTGTGGACTTTTAGTTTTGTTCCAGAGCCTGAGTGCACATCAATTTTACAGATCTGTCTTATTTGTATGCAGACTCTTGGTTCCTTGCCTCTCAGACAGATGCACTCTGACTTTGATGGAAGCCCCCAGTTAGTCTATTCTGGTTTTCCCACAATGGGGCCCTGGAACCCACAGGCTGTTTTATCCAAATTCAACTTTCTCCTCTACCACAAACAAATTATATTTGTTTTATTATTACATTATCTTTTATTATCAATAACTTCAACAAGGTTTAGACCTGTAAGGACCCTTTTCTAAGCAGAAGCTAACATGTCTGCCATTGTTTTCTTTGCATCGGCAATCCTGATTTAAAGATATACAATTATCTTAGAATGACAACCAAAATTATTCTCTTTATTATCAAAATACAGAGGAAACAACCACATAAAGCATGAGATGCAAGGATAGCAAGATGCAGACTTTGAAAGCGGTGTTGAAAGAAATTAGGTAATTCATAATTTATACAAACATATAACATCTTACGTGCATAGTATCCTATATCGTTGTTTGGATTAATGGCGCAGATTTCGGAACCTTCTAGCATTGCTGGGTCCCAGGTTTTTCTGAACTCAGGATCATGAAGTACATCGTACAATGTAGCAGCATCTATATCAGTGAAGATGCCCCGCACCTGTCATTTGAGGAAATCAGAACAGTAATGAAACATGACACTGTTAACAGGAGTAAGATTATTATTAAATGGTCCCCGCGTGGGTTCTGGGGCTCTTTTGTGGGGAAAACAAGAATAGCCCCACTGCCTCCCCAACCAGTATGTCACAAGAGTTGACTAATTAGGGTTTCCTTCAAAGTCGGACTGCATCTGCTTGAGAGGCAAGGAACCAACAATCTGCATATAATTAAGTCAGATATGTAAAACGGATGTGCACGCAACTCAGGTTCTGGAACAAGACTGAAGCCCAGGGGTGGACAAACAACCAGAACTCTCCGCCAAAGTTTACAGCCAGTGAACATGAAGAAGTAAGAAGATTTTTAATAAACTGTAACAATGGTCCTGAAACCCCATGCACTAACTGTGAAGACTTTCCTTAATGATAGCAGGTCTTTCTAGTCACACTCGCTATTGCCATGGGATATGGTTGCTATGATTTCCTATAGTACAATGTAACACTATCACTGGAAAGTTGCTAACAAGATTACTATAATTTATTACTATTATTCTGAACAAAGATTTTCTTCATCTTTGCATTCACCGGCTGTAAAATATGGCAAGTTCTGGTTGTTCGCACACTCTTGGACTTTGGTCTTGTTCCAGAACTGGAAAAAATTTCCCTATTTCATCAGTCATGCATCCAGCATATGAGGCAAGACTCAAAATTTTTATAGGCCAATTAGTGTTCGGTGGGTGACCATGCTGACCACCTTGAAGAGTCGACCTTGAAGTCTAGGTCAATTTGGGAGTAGGGGAAATGTACCACAATGTGGATTTGAACTGAAGACCTTCTTCTTACCAGGAGGTGAGCATCTAGTTACTATCTTACAGTAGCTTCCCTTAGAAATGACAGAAGAGGTGTAACAGAGACAGTTATCCTATCTGGTCTTCTTCGCGTTCACCAGCTGTACACTCTGGCGGAAAGTTCTGGTTGTTTGTCCACTTCGGAACTGAAGTCTTGCTCCAGAACCTGAGTGTTGCGTGTGCATCAGTTTTACAGATCTGATTCATCTGAATGCAGACTGTTGGTTCCTTGCCTCTCAGGCAGATGCACTCCGACTTCAAAGGAAGCTCCCCAGTTAGTCGACTCTTACGACATGCTTTTGGGGAGGCAGTGGGTCTATTCTTGTTTCCCCCACAATAGGGCACCGGAACCCACACGGGGATCCTATCTGGTGAATGTACTAATCAAGAGGAAATACTTTAGCTCTGTGAAGCAACACATATCAACTTTTTCAATCCTAAAGTACGCAAGGCGTGTGTTTAGTCTTTTTCTTTATATAAATTAATATGAGTACTTCCGCTTTCAAAATGGTGAATAGCAGCGCTGTTTGTTTTTTCTATGCCTGTGATTGCTCTCAGACTGTTCTGTTTCCTGACTGCTAGTTTGTGCATATTTTCAACACAGGATACTATGTTTTTTTGTGTGGAAGCAGAGTGTATTTTGGTTGTGCTATGTCAGGGTGGGATAATGACCGATTGATTTGGCAGCATCGACTACACTACCTTTGCAATGTTCTAATCGCTGGACCCACTATCCCTGGGAAGACGTAATTTCGTCAGCAGGGGGTTGTCTAGAGAGCAAACTCGATAAAAGCTGTCCCCAGAAACAGAAATGTGTCAACCATTTTTTGGTGGGGAGGAATCGACACACGCGGTTAACTCAATGGTCATGCGCAAATATTCATCCAACTGTGGTACTACAACGCTGGGTTACAATCAAGTGAAATCAAGACCCGCTCCCACATCCAGCTCAAACAGGTTTACCCTTAGCCATTGACAGGCCCTGATGTTTCCTGCGCTGCCAGGGAAGGACTAGGTATCAGGGGGTGGGGGGTGGGGGGGGGGGGCCACTTCCACCTCTGGTAATCGTACAATGGAACGTCAAGGCTGATAGACAAGGAAACAAAAGCCTACACAAATGGGGGATTCAGGAAGGTGTTCTCTAACTTGCTCAGTACTAAAGGACAATTTAATTAGTTTTAAATTAAAATATGGTGTGCTCCTTGGACACCGAAGCAGTTTAACTGAACAAGAGGCCAATGAACCAGCAAAACTGAACAATAGGCCAATGAACCAGCAAAACTGAACAAGAGGCCAACGAACCAGCAAAACTGAACAAGAGCCCAATGAACCAGCAAAACTGAACAATAGGCCAATGAACCAGCAAAACTGAACAAGAGGCCAACAAACCAGCAAAACTGAACCAGAATTACCTTCACCATCTGGAAATCTGAAAGATCATTTTTTTTAGTCCAAACTATGGTTTGATTTTTGTTGACTTCCAGCTTCCACCCTTCAGTCTCTTCACATATAGACTTGAAATGTTTGAAATCTGCATCTTCTGGTATGTACACTTCTCCCACTTTTAGTTGCAATGAGGATGACATTGTAAAAAAACACAGAGCTCTGTATGTGAAGAGAAAAAAAAAAGGTGTTAGTAGTGTTAATATTGTCGACTGAAATGATCAGTGTTTGCTATGTATCTATATTATAGGCAGCTGCACAGAAATCTGCGGATTTAGAGATCCTTCCCCCCCCCCATCCCAAAGTATTAGAGAGTGCTGATTCCCCCCTCACCAATTTAAAGAAGTTCTCTTTCTAAGTTTTTGTTTGCTCGTATCATATTACTTCAAACAAATATTACATTTATTTGCCATTCAGTATATTGTTGTAAATATTATTAAGCACTTAAAGAAAGCTTAGGTAATTTGATGACACCAAACCTCTTAGAAAATATCTAAAGGGGCTCAGCCCATCAATGTTTTCTTTGTGTCAACAATCCTGGGCACACACATGATGATGATAGTCTGTGCCACAGAGTAACTGGAGTCTTTCTTTCTGAAAACCTATTTTTTTCTTCAAGGAAAATGCAAGTCAGCGGGGAAAGAAAATATTTAACATTACTAGGTTCTTTTCTTCTCTGCCCTCCTCCCTCGTTATAAACATACATCCTCAATCAACTCACGCCAATTTGTCCGAACCTTTATTATTTGCATGCAGCGTCACCATCCTTTCAACCTCACTCCCTAGCTCAATTCTCCATGCTTTTATTCACAGAGATTTTTCCAGGTGAAAGGAGATGTGTTGATGATCTGAACTTTTGATTGGCTTTCTCCGCACCACGTCACCATACCTCTATTAGAAGAGCCTCCTGTCAACTTGGTTGGCCGGGTATTACTTGTTTCGTTTCTTGGCTTGTGCATCACAGGTTGGCTTTTAAGGCTTTTTTTTTTTTTTACACGATGAGATAGTCAATCCCAATATACCTGTAGTCACCTCTTATGACATGTCTGGTAGAGTGTAACCTATGGTACCATTTGATTGACTTGAGACAAACTCTACTCGGATAGTAGTTATTTTCCAGGTATTCAGTTATCTTTCATGCTCTTTAGTCAATGTCCAAGCTTGACACTGACAGCACAAGGTTGGTATGAAGATTTACAAATGTATGCTGAAAATGTAGCTCATCAATGTTCATGTTCTAACTGCTAACAACTGGATAAAACTAGTCCTGTGGTAGCTAGTGCTTTTGGGATGTAAAATATTAGGCTTTCACGTATTCTGGTTTACAGAGTATGAGGCTGGAATGACAGTTACATTTCCCAATGCTCATTCTTCCCTAGATAATTCATAGAAATTGTCAAATTCCATAAATTGTCTGGTACCCACTTTTATAAGGACAGATCAACAATACCGGTAGTATTACTGCAAGTGTAGATAATAATAAGACAAAGCTCTGTCGACTTGTTTCATTCTTCTTGTGCAACAACATTATCAGAATGAATGACATTTGATGTGTGTCGTTCACCCACCAGGACCGTGGTACGATGACATGAACGACCACCACCCAGTGACACAATGGGATAAGGATCACCCGAGCATAAGCTTCAGAAACCCCATTCAACCCTGAGGTTATAATTTCTTAGGGCTCCCGACTACACAGCCGCAGTGGGGTTTTATAATAACGAAAAATTTCGTCCTTCTTTGGGACGGTAATAGTACAACATACTATAACTCACACTGGCATGTGAAAAGACGATTATGACAAATGACTGACTGAACGACAATCAATCCACAGTAAATAATTAGTAACGATGGCAAACAGAACATAAAAAATACTGCAACGACTGATTCTCTACACTCAATGACAAGAAAGAGAGAAAGATCAAGTAACGACAGTCAAGTAGGAAATTACGGAAATGAATAATGTAAAGTTTAAGAAAAGTCTGAAAAGTTCGGAAAAACTCAGAAATGATGATGATGATATTGAATTTTGATAACCGATAACCTGAGATTAAAATAAAAAAAATACTTTGAAGAAAAATTAAAAATAAACCCGAATAACTATCCTTCAGTACATCTATATCCAAAACGCAATAACGACAACTAAAGTGTATATATTCTAAACCATACCGTAACCCTAAGATAAATATAAAGAACGATATTTCATACAAATCAGTTGTGGCTTGCCAGCACCCAGCCTTGCTTGTTGCTAGAAACTGTGTACACGGCAGACGAGACTAAATATAGAAGCGAGAACATCCCCTTCCGGTCCGGCTTGCTGGTTTTTCCTGGTGTTAGTCACAGGAGAGCCGCGTCATGGAATAGATAACAACCTTTAATCTGTTAGTGTAATCTCATTATCATTCTGCACTGCAGGTTACTTCGTAACTGTAAGGGCAGTGGCGTATCTAGGGTTCGGCTGGTAGGGCAGATGCCATAGGCGCCACTTGAAGGAGAAAAACAAAAGCTCAATTTAAAAAAGTAGCAGCGTTTCATCTGGAGGGACCACAATTCTTCTTCTCCTTCTTCTCTTCTTCTTCTCTTCCACCTTGTACCTCAGTGAAGTGTCGGGGGAGATGTAATGTTCGTTGGTGAGCTCTGTCAAGAGCACTATTGAGACTGATGTTCATTTCTGTATGGCTGTTCTTAATGCCATCACTCCATCTTTTCCGAGGTCTTCCACTCGCTCTATAACCGTTGTAACGTTTTAGTGTGGCTCGCTGTAGCAGATAGTGCCAGGGCATTTTTGTTAGGTGTCCAAACCACTTTATTTATTGTTCTTTGATGACCTGTAAGACTGGCTTTATTCCTAGCATTCGTCTGGTTTCGTGATTTCGTATTATGTCTTTCCTTGAAACTCATGCAGCTCTTCTAAGGCATTTCATCTCTGTTGTCACAATTTTACGTCCATTGGAGAATGTAAGTGTCCACGTGTGGCATTGATAGCATAGTGTTGGCCAAAAAATAGTTATGATAAGATTCACATTAATACTCCGAGGTATCTACATGTGTGTCAACAGGGGAGATAGTTGCTCCATTACTTGATTAGCTTTGGCACATCTGGAGCTAATTTCTATGTCCAGGAAGGGACCACAATTAGTTCATTATGTTAAAGAAGGTTAGAAGCGCACAACCCTGCACACATTTTAACATTTAATCCTGATTAGGACCGTTTTCATTAATTTAAAAACAATGTAGCGTTTCTTAGTCAGGCCAGACAGAGTCATAATTTCTGTAGAGTAGGCTACATGATTTTTATACGACGAAGTATCATTTTTGGAGTATATATACTATTGTTTCCCGTTCGAGATATACTATCGGCTCATATACTCGACCATTTTATACAATGAAATGATTTTACACAGAGAAGAAATGTGAAGCTAAAGGGCTAAAGAAAGGAAAGATGGAGGCAGCTGAAGCCAAACAATCAGTCAACTTCTTCATGCCTCGCTTTGAAATTTCAGGCTCAAGTAAGTTTCATGGAGACTCCTACACCTGCTACAAGTTTGATCGACTCTGAAGTTGGATCCAGCACAAATTTGTCTCGAGATGAAGAGGAAGTAAATTCAGACAAATCACATCCTTAAGAGGAAGTAAAATGTGACAAAACTTGGCATGACTGCTTCCGACGGTACTAGGGAAATATTTATATGACAATTAGAGAAGGGATGACAATGGATTTGGTGATAATGTTCAATATATTTACCAAAATATATCTGATAATATTGAAGTAAATGGTGTCATCCCTGCCAAAGAGCCTGGGTTTGCCACTATAGAAGTCATTTTAACAGCATGACATTGGTCTTATGAATTTGGCAAGCATACAGGAAAGTTCTTGAAAACTACGGTATAAATGGAACAATTTTAGATTGTGTTAGGGCTATTTATAGACAAAGTGAAAGCGCCATTAGAACAAGAGCTGGCATCACAGACTGGTTCCCAGTAACATCAGGAGTAAGACAAGGTTGTGTATTATCACCTTTACTTTTCATAATATTTATGGACAATATTAATAAAATAGACATAACACCAACAGATGTCGATAAACAGGAGGACTTCAATGAGCTGCTCTTTGCCGACGATCAATGCATATTTCACAGTGATAGTAAACAGCTGCAAGACCACATGAACCTACTACACGACAGTTGCCTCAAGCATCATATGAAGATCAATATTGAAAAGACAGAAGTCATGAGCATAAGTAGAGAGCAACAGACCATCGACATAAAGATTTCTAGATCACAGCCTAAAACAAGTGCAAGAATTTAAATACCTGGGAAGTATCTTTACATCCAATGGTAAAATAGACAGAGAGATTGAAGCAAGAAATCCAACAAGCCAACAATGTCGCATACCAGCTTGCCCCAATTTTAAAACACCCTGTTGTCCCAGCTGAGATAAAAAAGACAAATTATAAATACAATCTTTATACCGACATTAGGTTATCAATGTCAGACTTGGACATTAACAAAAGAACATGAGAGAAGACTAAACCACCTGTGAAATGAGATGTTTGAGAATGGCTGCGAATAAAACCAGAAGAGATCGAGTGAGAAACGATGTGATTACAAGAACTATTGGAACCATACCCATCGTTAAATTTATTGAGAAGCAAAGAATGAAATGGTTTGGTCACCTAATGAGAATGGAACCAACGATGCCAGCATCAAGAGCATACAACATGAAAATCGAAACAACAAGAGGCAGGGGAAGACCAAGAAGAAGATGGATTGAAGGAGTCACGGACAACTTGAGACTTCATAACATCACGGCATATGAAGCGACTGAGCGCGCCCTGGCTCGGTTGCCGATCATCTGAAAGACTGCGACGCCTAGCGGCACAAGCAGATTTTGACAAAAGAAGAAGATACAGGAAAAGCAATTCTGTCTAATGCATTATGGACAGAAACGGTGACGTTTGGTTCAAATTTTGTTTCAAACTGCGAGGAGCCATTCATGTGAACAAACAACCGTTCAATGGACAAAATCTAGTTCAAGATAAAACTGGGGAAACTCTGTCAGCACTTATTCCCCTTCTATAAAGTCGGCATTTTGCCTGTATTGTCTTCTATATTCTAAATCCGATCACCAATCCTCTCTGGAGCAAGAGCATGCATTCAACCTGTGGAAAACACCTGGAAGGTTATGTGTTCATAAAAATACCAAGAAACATCGGATAGGCCTTACCCAGTGGGAAGAAACTGAGAGAAATTTAGTTTACGGTTATTGACATGGGATTTCCACTGCTTTCTTACAACTCAAAATCTAGCTTTGTGTTTACACAGAGAATCCTTTCATGGCTCCAATGTAGGAAATTTTCTTGCCTGATTGAAACTAACGGCAGCTTTTTAACCTCTTATGAAAGAACACTTGAAATATGTGAAAGATCATGCTGGATCCAGACGGTATCTGTTCTCTGGTGTGCAGTGTTGCCACTTTGGATGTTTTACATCCAGATTTAGATGTTTCCCCTTGCATTTATTTAGATGGCGTTTATGACGTTTAGATGGTAAATGTTTTCATTTGGAGTGAATTTATCAAATCAAACCTAAGAAACAGGATGAAATTTGACCTTTTAAATGCTACCTTGACAATAAAGTTTGGCCTGATAAGAGTTGGAAAAGGCTGTTCCACTTATCAGCTCTCTGATTAGGTATTAAAAGAAATTAGAACAGCTAAAGCATACCATAGTCATTTTGGATCTGAAGCTTCAACTTTATCATCCAAGCTAAGTTTATCCTGTGGATCTTGTGAGGCAGACTTCAGTAAAGATGAAGACATGATTCTATAGGGTAAGTCATATCAATTGCTATGTATTTTGTGACTCTTTCCATTTAGATGTTTTTTCTAGATGTTTTCCACGCAAATTTATATGGTTTTAGATATTTTTTGACTCTGTTTTGGATGTTTTTTGTCAAAGAAAAGTGGCAAAACTGCTGGTATGCAGTGTGAATTAATCCACCTGATGGCAGCCTCCGTTCGCTAAAATTTTCTGAGAACCGTTCGCAGAGCCATGTTCGACGGTATCATGTTTGAATCGACTGCTGATCAATCACACAGCGAGCAGATGTCAGTCGTAGGGAGAACCGTGGGAGTTGATTTAAGAGGAAAGATATAGTGTGTTAAAGAGTCCTTCATTGTTTTATCCAGATAAGTCAGAAGGATGCTACGAGCTTGGTTCCAGACATCCTGAACCACCTAGAGATAGATAAAACAGTACACACCCAGCATATCTTTATATCCTTTCATTTTACTTCCCAAAGCAATAATTATTTTTACACTAAGATGTATACCGGTACTTCGTCCGTTCCTGATCATTGGACGTAAACCAAACATGACGTATACCAAACTCAACGTATACTATACAGGTCGTATACTAAACAGGATTTATACCAAACATGGCGTATACCAAACATGACCTATACCAAGCAGGATGTTTACCAAACATGACGTATACCAAACAGGACGTACACCAAGCAGGGCGTATGCCAAACAGAACGTATACCAAACAGGACGTATACCAAACACGTCGCATGCCAAACAGTACGTATATCAAGCAGGGCTTTTATCAAACAGGACATATACCAAACAAGGCGTATACCGATCAGGACGTATACCAAACAGGATTCATACCAAACATGTATACCAGACAGGACGTATACTGAACTAATTTTCCTATAAGAGATAAAGGGAGAATGGTTAATCCGTTCCGATAAAGAAAAAAACAAACCATATTGTTATTGGCTTATTATACATATTCCAAACAAAAGTCGTATACCAAACAAACGTTTTCGCTTCTAGCCAGGACGTATACCAAATTGAACGTACACCACAGCGGAAGTACCACTATATTTAACCATAAAATGACAATAACTCATGCAAATTGGATGGTGAATTGATACATGACAAGCAAATGCGGTTAAGGCCCTTTGGGAACAAGCAACGGAATCAGTAGAAAAACAAGATTATTATGGCCTGGAGAGAATGAGGCACGTGAGTGTAACCAGGGTGTCTGGCTGGCTAACTACACTCAGATGAAAGGTAAGACAAACATATAACCAGATTCAATTGTGACCGGTACCATCAGTTTTTGAACTATGCGCTGGCTGCTGAAGATGAGGACGGAGCACGCATGGGAATGCCCCGAGTGCTATGATGTCAATTTTTAACTCAACTCAACCCCATAGGTATGTAAGTCCCACGCCTTCTTACATCACAGCATAACAATATCGTCTGGAAACACAGAAAGGTGACAACTAACTAAAGTAACGACAAAGTCGAAGATGAATGGATGAAGATATGAACGTCATCAATAAGTGTGTGGAAACCAGACTTGTTGTTGCATTCAATATGTCTGACAGGCAGAACTCTATAATTCAGATAGAAATAATATAATATTTATTATTCCGCATATATAACAGGAAGAGGAAAAAAGAAGAAGAAATAACAGACATTAGACAAGAGGTAAGCTACTATTTGATCGTTCCCTAAAAATATCCGAATGCGGGTCAGTTCTATTAAAAATATATGTGCCGGCACCGGATAACGAAACAAATGCTCTGACAGGGTCTCGGCGATACGTTGCTTCTGCGAGTGTGCCTCACCGCCGAGAGTATCCCCCGCGCCGCTACGCGCCTAGTTTAGCTCCCATCTGCGCCGCTCGGCGATGAGTTTAATCGCGTTTGGCGCATGCCAACAAGTCTGACATCTACCGCTGCTAAATCCTCCAATCGGAAGAACACAGTATTGCTAAACGGCTTTTATCGCCTGTAATGTCTCGAAATTGGTCAACGGTCGCTAATATCGTCTGCTAGTATCGTCTGCAAAAACGCTCGAAATTGTTGTCAACGGTCGGTATTTATCGTCTGCTACTAGTACCGTGTGCATATGTTGATATTGATTGTCAAGTAATCCTAGTTTTGCCGCGATTTGTTCCTTGGCAGAAGTCCGTATTTTAGATATACGCGAACACCGTCGTTCGGATATTTTTGGATATTTTATGGCCAGAATGTGGCATGCCGCCATTTTGGGGAATGATTCAAAGGAGCGCCGGAACTTCACAATCTTTGGTAAAATTGATGAAATTTAAATTACCTCTTGTGCTGGAGCAAATAATATATAACTATGTCTCTTTCAGTTGTTACTTAAGCCTCCTTCATCCTATAAAAGTAGCATCTGAACCATTTCAGACACAAATCGATATTATTTTGGGCAAAAAACAAAACAAAACAACAACCTTAGCATAGAAAAAAAAAGTTGAAGAAATGCTTGCACTGGGACTGAAAGAGTTAAACAACATTTATTAAAACGTCGGTTCTTAATTTATAACGTATCCCAAACACGAAATCCCCGTGGGAAATCCACAGCTGACCTGACAGTCCATTATTTAAAAGGGTGGAAGTGTGCTGTTGTGTGTGTGTGTGTGTGTTTTTTTTTTTTTTTTTTTAGTGTTAATCTAGTGTCTTCTAATCCTAACCCTAAGCCTAAGCCTAACTCTAACCCTAAACTTGGGTGTAGATAAATCGCGAGAACCAGAACACCCTAAAATTTATTGGGAATGTCTCCCGTGACGTTGTCGTGACGTCAGGAGTAAGTTATAAATTAAGTACCAAAAACGTCTCTTCCTAATTCACATTTAGCGTTTATTCTTTTCTCAGGGTCGTTGTCTGGTCCTGGATCTGCTATAGGACAGTAACAGTCTACTAACTAGCTCTGTCAGTTACACGGGAACAGTAAAATGGATGGAGTAAGGAAGTCAGCCCTCTCTCATCACGTACCTACAGCAGCAGACCTGCTACAATCCGCGCATGGATTTGAGCACCCTGGAAGTCCCACCGAACCAGAGCCTATAACAATAGCTTCAATTCCTACAGAATTACTATTGTACATTTTCAGTTTCCTCAACATTAACGAAAGACTCAGCGCCGCCGGAGTTTGCCGAACTTGGCGATATCTAATTTTCTCGAGTCCCCGACTTTGGGGGAAGAAGCAGCTGAAGTTGAAATGCAATCGCCTGTCCCACCAAAGCCGGAGATCGTGTTTCTATGCTAAACGACTCGGACATTTTTTACGGAAAGTAACGATTAACTGCGAGCATACAGGTAACCACCAGTGTAAATATATGGCCGTGTGTTTTCGAAAACTGATAAAGAATCTCAAGTCAAAAAACCCGGCACTGACGTCTTTTAAAGTTATAGATCTTCGTCTTGGAGGCGCGTCGCCAGTGGTTATTGCTAAGATCTGCACATTGCTATCTCGTCTGCTTGAATCGCTAGCAAACCTGAAGAGTTTCCAGATGTCTTCAGCACAATGGCCGCCGGAAGAAGGGAAAATGGTGATGAATACTTTGCTAACGGTGTCTAAAAACACTTTAGAAACCCTCCAAATCGACGGCTACTTTGTTCCCAGGTACACTCCGGTGGAACCTGGTCAATTTACTGGAGATATAGCGACACTGACCAGACTAACTAAATTAGCCATTGACTACTTTTACATGGATGGTGACTCCGTGGTGGCCCTGGCAGATGCCAGGAGAGGCCAAATGAAAAAATTGAAACTACTGGCCTCTGATATAAGCCCGAACACACAGTACATTTCCAAACTGGCCTGGACGTATTTGGTAATATCTGTGTTGTTTGTACCCCCAATTATGTGTTGTATTTTAACCTATCTAAAAAAAAACTTACGAATGTGAGTTATGGGCTCTTATCAGTCTGTGAAGGGGAAAAGGCAAAATTTCCGAACCGAAATGCTACGGAAAAATTCTTAGAATATCATAGACCAAAAAGAGGAAAATCATCGACATCTTGCCTGATCAGAGCATCAAGAAGGTTTGGCTCAAAAACAGCATCCTCTCCTGAAAGCAGGGTTATCGTGGCCATGTTAAACATCGGGGTGGTCTGGAGAGCGCGGTAATGGATGGTATAGTATTCGGGAAACGAGGCAGAACCCCACTTCCATGAAAGTGGATACAAGACATTGAAGCTGTACATGAAACGTGCCACCATACGGATGAGGATTACCGGTAGAGAGGTCCAGGAAATCTAGTTCAGCCGACAGGCTATATTTAGGGCCCCCGGCAAAAGCCAGGGTGGGGCTTCAAAAGAAATATTTTTTTTTTATCCCACAGGGAAACAATAGGTATCCCATATGGGAACGGTACCCATTCTGACTAAACATAAGACCTGTTCCGACATGGGACAACATTTTCTGTGTGAGGATATTAAATATGTACTCGCGCGCGCACCCCCCCCCCTCCACACACACACACACACACACACACACACACACATACCACTCACACACATGCAAACAGTATACCCACCTCTACGAATGTCAGTCACGACCGCCCATATTTCTCCCTAGACAACTGCTTGTCCCGCCATGAGAGTGGAGTTCTGCATCAAAGGTTTTGTTATCTCCCCTTCGCGCTCCATACCTCTGATTCTGGAGCCCGTTTTGCGCATCTCCATGATTCGCCTCTCTATTGGAGGACAGTTCACCTTCATAGACACCCCGCGGCTTAACATGGCGGCCGTCTTTCACCATATCATGGTTCACTTTAAGTAAGTATTTTTGCAGAGGCGATGTGTTCACTAGTTATTATAGAGAGTTTAGAAATTGGTGCCGATGTTGAAAACAGTAGTTCTTAGCTGTAGTGGAATATATATAATTTTAATATTTACTTCGTTCTCAACGTTACGTTAGGTCTCTCCACCCCACCTAGCAAGTAATTAGAATGCATTTTTGCTCATTAAAAGTATATCAATGTACGATGATCCTTGCTGGATTGCCATTTAAGAGTTATACAGCACAAAGTTCAAATGTTACCTATCGACAGTTTACAAAAACACGTTTTTTTTTTGGAGTAAATTCTGAATAAGACTTCAACTGTCACCCTTGGACGTGTGGGAACATGCTACATAATAAATGTGCTGGATCGTTTACAAGTTCATGAGAAGGTATAAAGCGGTTACTTGTGTTGTTAGGGTTAGGGTCATTCACGTCAGTACTGTAAAATGTTTCGTGTTATATAACTAAAGTTATGCAAAGTGATAAAAATAACAACGAAAAAAGTATGTTTCGATACAGCTGAGCAGTATAAATCCTAATTATGCATAAAACATTAATATCTAGATAAAAACAAGAGCCCGTGCAAGACATAATGATTCCTAGATAAGTAACTAAGGAGAAATAATTGAAAATACAACGGCATGCATTTACAAACGCATTATATCAATACAACTCCTAGTTTACTCCTCGAACATAGAAAAGTGCCTACGTCACTAATATTGACACTGCAGCTCGTGAAAGCTACCAGTTACTAATACCAGCATGCATGCTTGCAAAAGCGAAGCGACGAGGAGGAAGAAATCACGCGATACCCTCTCCAGTGTAAAGAATGCATTATGGATTTGCCTCAGTTCCACATTACATATTTTCCATTTTTAAGGGATTTGGGGGGGGGGGGAGCAAAAAATTTAGTGGTTTGACATTTAACAAGAATGCCCTGGTACTACTACTACTACTACTACTACTACTACTACTACTACTACTACTACTACTACTACTACTACTACTACTACAACTACTACTTCTACTACTACTACTACTACTACTACTACTACTACTACTACTACTACTACTACTACTAGTTCCTCGCCCCTCAGGCGAGTTACTATTACTACTACTACTTCTACTACTACTACTACTACTACTACTACTACTACTACTACTACTACTACTACTACTACTACTACTACTACTACTACTACTACTACTTCTACTACTGCTGCTGCTGCTGCTGCTGCTACTACTACTACTACTACTACTACTACTACTACTACTACTACTACTACTACTACTACTACTACTACTACTACTACTACAGCCACCACCACCACCAATACTATTTCGCTACCAACACCAGCACCATCAGTACCACCCGTCCTAAGTAAAAACCAAATACCTCCATCTGTATCCTCACTAAGTGCCTAGCTGACTGGCGTGGGGAAATCTTCTACTCTTTCTGCAACAGAAAGCGACAGTCTCAAATTTATTCATCTACTGTTTTCTACGAAGGGCTGTTAATACAACAAAAAGAGATCAAATCTGGAATAATGAAATCCGAAGGAGAATGGGGACAGTCCTAAATTTCATTAGAAGACAACAAGTGAAATGGTTTGGCCATAAAACGCGGATGTCAGCAAACAGTACACCAATGCAAACAAAAATGTACAGACCAGGCGGGAAGTGAAGAAGAGGCCGACCATGCTAACGATGGACAGAAGGAATAACAGAGCCCCTGGGAATCCCTGTTTACGAAGCCCACAACCGGACACTTTATACTCTACCTCGACACCGCAAGGTACCAGTGGATCAAGATAAGATGAGACTGTTTCCTTGCATAAGAATAGAAATGAAAGCCAAACCTTTGAGAGCATAATCTTCTCTGTAGCAACATACGGATGTTACGTATACCATTGATAAAAAAGAAAAGATATACTGACATCTCAAAAGATCTGAACATTAGTGAAGACTGGCTAGTAGTTAACATCATCTTGTCTCAAAAGCTGAAATAGTTTGGTCATAACAAGCGGATTGGAAAAAGTAATGGTATAAGGAATGGGACCTGGAAAAAGGGGCAGGGACCGACCAGTAGGAAGATGGGCACAAGATATAAGTAACACCTTAGGCAGAAAGTTACCAGGCAGGAGACTGAATTTCTTTCAGACAGACCGTGATGAGAGCGACGTTCTGCAAACGAGCTTCTATGTGATGACTATTTTCTGTAAAACGTCAACTGTTGCTTCCGATGCTCTATTGACTCGACCACAACTAGCCCTGGTGCCCCTGTTGCTCCCCAGGAAACGACTGGCTAGATTTGAGATGGACATTGACAACTACAATGACTTCATCGACGCAGCTTTCATCAAGATGGTCAAGAAGTGCAAGCACTTGATTCACCTGAAGGTGAGTTTTAGGGTGCGAAATGTTAGGTCACCACATTCATCTGGGGATAGGGGGCTGCGCCTCGAGTGATAGAGGTTCCGGGTTCAATCTTCGGTAAGGGCTGGGATTTTTTTACGTGTACTTGGAATTTTAGTAATTTCCCCTGGTCTCTGGGTAGTGAGATCGGACGCCCGTGTGCATTGTTGCGCACATAAAAAATACATTGTCAGTTGGAAATCGAAAAGAGTAGCCTAACGGCGCTGCCTGGGCAAAAATTTGGAGTAAAAATCTACCCAAAGTATTTCAGGATCCTCGTCGGTGCTACAGAGATTGTTCACTGTGCTGAGCTTCTTCGGACTCAGACTTGAGTTAGAAGAAGAACGGAGCACTTATGGGTTACTATCCGTTTGCCATGATGTTGATCCGTTGTTCAAACCTCACACCTCAGCATTCATCTGGGTATTATATTGTCAATTCCTCTTCAAGACGTCGATCTTCGTGTTGAGGCAGATAAAATATAAAATGAAGCAGCCTTGTTCACGCCTTCAGTCGTACTGGGCACAAAGGACTAGACCTATCATTTTATTGACCAATCGGCACTCGGTGAATTATGTGATCAACATCAGGCGGGCCGCCTTTGCTTCTCATGACTTTAACTGGTACCCATCTAAGGCTAGGTCGACCTGGGAGCCAAGGTAATATTTGAGAAAAAAAAAAAAAAAAAAAAAAAACCTATCGCTAAGACCCGCCTCGCCTTCCTGATCACAAGCGAGCGTCTAGCCGCTATACCACAACGGCTTCCATGGAAGTGAGTGAAGAAACTTTTTTCCCCCGATGCCGAAGCGGTCATATGATGTGGATTTCCGGGGATAATGTGATCAACAAAACGCTAGCCGCCTTTGCTTCTCAAGGGACCACCAGGGAGCCAAGATCAATTTTCTGGGGGGTGGGGGGGGGGGGGATATGATTGATGCGGATTTGAAGTCAAGGCCTTCAGGTTGGATGGCGAGGCGGCATCTAGTCACTTCGCTACCGTAGCTCTCTGTTCAACCAGGACAATCGTAATTTATGGTCTTCAGAGTCTATGGTTTAGACGCTTCTTTATTCAGGGGTTAGGGTTAGATCCCAGTTGCGGGCGATTTAGTAGCAGACCTGCCCGTGTGGGTCCCGGGCTCCCAATTGTGTAGGGAAAAACAAGAATAGACCCACTGCCTGCCCAACAAGCATGTCGTGAGAGTCGACTAATTGGGAGCTTTCTTTAAAGTCGGAGTACATCTCCCTGAGAGGCAAGGAACCAATAGTCTGCATGCAAATGAGGCAGACCTGTCAAACAGATGTGCACGTAGTACTCAGTTTCTGAAAGAGGACTAGAGTCCAGAAGTGGACGAACAGCCAGAACTTTCCGCCGGAGTTTACAGCCGGTGAACGCGAAGAAGAAGAAGAAAAGTAGCAGATCGCCTTGCGTTTGTTCCACAGCCGATCTTTTAGTGAGCAGTGGTGAACTACTGAACGTAAACAATTATTAGTAAAATGATTAAACATTAAAAAAAAAAAATAAAATTAAAAGTAAAAATGCTGGGGTTGGTTCTGCTACGTTTTGTGAAGCAATATTCTTCAAAAGTCCAGTTGGACAACCACCTATTTTGGGGTCTAATCATGTAATAAGATATGAATAGTAATTTTTCTTGTTCAGGATTACACTCTGTACAATTAACTCTGGCCTTCTGTGGCTTTTACGGTCTGCAGGAGGTCGTGGATTAACGCAACAAGGGTTTCTTCTTCTCCGTTCTTCTTCTTCTTCTTCTCTTCTTCTTCTTCTTCTTCTTCTTCTTCTTCTTCTTCTTCTTCTTCTTCTTCTTCTTCTTCTTCTTCTTCTTCTTCTTCTTCTTCTTCTCTTCTTCTTCTTCTTCTTCTTCTTCTTCTTCTTCTTTGCGTTTGGTTTCGTATGCTCAGATCAGACCATCAAGTGGGTTGCCTCTAAAAACTCGCATGTCAGCTGCAGGTCCTGCATAGTTCCCCATAGCTTGCTCTGCACACTTTGCTCTTTCCGTTCAATTGCAAATATTTTCTAACCTCTGGACAGTAGCAAATGTCGCATTGCTGGAAATTGTAATTGTGCGAGTTTCGAATTTACCAAAATTACTGTTGTCTACATTATTTGTTGTTGTTGTTTGTTTTGTTTGTTCCTGTGCTTGGTTAGATGTCAGGTAGCCCGCTAAACAAATTGCACTGTCTTGATGAGCCGCGGTTTTAAAAAAGCTGAGAAACGCTGACGTAAAGGACACGCAACAATCTTTTCATAAGACGGGGTCTCACCCCCCCCCCCCGTGTGGGTTCCGGGGCCCCATTGTGGGGAAAACAAGAATAGACCCACTGCCTCCCCAAAAGCATGTCGTAGGAGTCGACTAATTGGGAAGCTTCCTTTGAAGTCGGAGTGCATCTGCCGGAGAGGCAAGGAACCAACAGTCTGTATTAAAGAGAATGAGATCTGTAAAACTGATGCACATGCAACACTCAGGTTCTGGAGCAGGACTGCAGTTCAGTAGTGGACGTGCAACCAGAACTTTCCACCAGAGTGTACAGCTGGTGAACGCGAAGAAGAAGAAGAAAATAAGACGGGGGTCGATTCAATCTCCTAAATATGGGTGGCGGATACATTTTCATAATTTTAAGGGAAGAAAAGGTGACAAAGAAAAGAGCTATCAACCACACGCACATGGATGCATGGACCTACAGATCTTCTTCATTTGCCTGTACAAGGACGATTGGCAAGTTGTGTGGTGATTTACAGCCAGGCTGCCATATTTCAGCCCAACGCACCCGATTTCAGCAAACCCCTGAATTAATCGCCTTTTACGACATGCTTGTTTTGGGGGCATTGAGTCTGGTCTCCTCCTCCCGCTAGCTCCAACCGAATAAATCCGCACTGGAATCCACACATGGAACATCCTAATGTGCATACCTGTGCCAGCAGTAACAGCTGTGAGCATGGTAAAAGTACAAGGGTGCCAGAATTCACCACAAACATCTAAAACGAAGCCAATATCTACTTTAAAGTCGAGAGGATCTGCTTCATTGTCCCTCATGATTCCATATCAGCCACTCTTTGCATAACTCCTAGCTTCCTGAAGAGAACGTCGCACAAAGCACGAACTCCGTAGCTCCAGCGACGATCCTCATGTCTCTCCGTAAAAATTTTACTCAGGGACTGAACGACACATCTGTGGAACGAACCCGTAAAATTATTTTGGGTGAGTATATTCGGAAATAAACAGCAATGGAGACAGTTCAACATAAATTAAAAGGAGGATGGCCAAAGTACTGCAAAGATTACACAGCCTTAAAAGTCTATGGTTAAGCACCAGCAAGGAGATAAAAATTAGAATTTTGAGAGCATGCATCTTCCCTGTGGCTACATACGGATGTGAGTCGTGGACTATCTCTCAGTTATTAAGAAAGAAAATAGATTCTCAGAATATCTTGGACAAAGAAGAGGAGAAATATTGACATCTTAAAAGATCTGAACATCAAGGAAGATTAGCTAATAAACAGCATCCTGTCTCGGAAGTTGAAATATTTTAGTCATATCAAGCGCCACGACGGATTGGAAAAAACTATTAGCAGAAGGCATGGTACCAGGAAGGAGGGGCAGGGGCAGACCGACACGAATATGGGCAGAGGAAATAAGTGACTCCTTGAGTATGAAAGTATATGAGGCAGGAGAACTGACGAGAGACCGAGTTTCTTTCAGGCAGACTGTGATGAGAGCGACGTTCTGCAAAGGACATGCTACATGATGAGAAAATTCAGAAAAAGTAAACACCAGTGTTTCATTTTTCGATGTAGTCAGCACTGCGTTCAATGCAAGTTCTCCAGTGCCGATAAAGTGCTTGGGTGTAACCACCCATGCACCATCTGTTGTACCTCTTCATCGGACCATAAAGTCTTTCCTCGCAGTGATTCTCCGAGTTGTTGTTCTTCTTCTTCTTCTTCAGCGATCTCTGTTCATGCGCATAATCCACTGTGGGTCATAAACTGGGATGTCTTTTCAAGGTCTCTTAGGTTTCCCCAAAGCTTAGTTGTCAGTTCTACTGGGTGTTGCCATATGTCGCTCCGCAGCTCCCCCAGGAGAGGACAGTCTTGCAGGACATGTTCTGGAGTCTGTTCAGCACGAAGGCACCGGCAGAGAGCTGTTTGGCTCATACCTAATTTATGTGAGTGTTTATTGTGTCTGCAGTGACCAGTGCGTAAGCGAAAAACTGTGACTTGGTCTGTTCTGTTCAAGTGTTTCAGAAAATCTTTTTCGTAGTTATAACCAGTGTTGGTTTTCCAATCTGTTTCTGATTTTCTCTTAATGAGAGTTTTGACTTCTGGAAAAGATAGTGGCTGGTAGGTCTGTGGTTTGTTACTGCCTTCCTTGGCTAAAGCATCTGCGCTCTCATTGCCTTTGATGCCACAGTGTGACGGAATCCACTGCAAGTGAATTTCTGCCTTATTTGGCAACATAGCAAGTTCATCCGAATTGTTCAGACTGGTGGAAATCATTTGGCGGGTAGGTCTGGCGAGAACAGGGGATGTAATACACATTAAAAGTGGAGGTCCTCGTTGGTGTCAACCGTTGTATTTTTCCACCCCCTAGGTCATCGCATTTTTCCAAAACGAAGAGACAGACAATATCGTCACAGAAATCGTCCAGACCAGAAGAATCAAACAGGAAGGAGCAGCCGGGAAGGCACCCAGAGATCTATCAACTCCGTTTGGCGCATTTAATGAGGATGCAACTGCCGTAGTTAACTGTGGAGGTAAAAACCACTCGAGTGGTACTAAGGTAAAGAAGAAGAAGAAGAAACCTAAGAAGGCCCCAAAGACTTCAGTTTCCCCAAGCGCTAGTAGATGTAGCACAGACGGTGACAGTCCTCGAGACAAGAAACCAGTTAGTAAGGTCAAAGATAAATGCAAAAAGGGAAAGCCGAAAAAAGGTGTAGCGAACTAATAACGAAAGGGTTTCAGTATGAAAATTAACTTTACAAACTCCCGTCACAATTTTATAATCATTATTATCATGTACCTTGCCGAATATTAGGATGACTATGTCCCGTTTGACTACTGGACGTAAATTTGCCTAGAAAAACCACACAAGAGCCAGGGGCTTTTGGTGTTGGTTCTGCAACGTCCTGTAAAGGATACGCAACTAACCAATGTCCCGTTTTCTCCAGGACAGTCCCGTTTTTTTAAGGCTTGTCCCGGCCGACCTGTCAGCACTTAAACAAAGTACACATCTGGGAATAAGTTCGAGAATAGAACATAAGTTATGTCTGCAGACCTTATTAGATTTCGTAGTTTTTAGAAACATTTAATTCCTGATTTAAATTTTCATTGTAGCATTTCTTCCCTGTGCAATTACACGACATATTGGCTGGTTTATTTTTAACGATAGTGGACTGTGCCCAAATACCCTTGTAGAACACATAATTAACCCTTTTACCTCCAGTGACATAGAAAAAAAAGATGGACTAGGAGGGGTGAGCTGACTTGCTTGGGATATCCCGTTTTCAGCTCACAGTATTATGGTCACACAAGCGATTATATTGCCAATTATACCTTGCGATCTCTAACAACATATATCGTTTTGTATGCTGACACCCTTCCATGGCACTTCTTTTTCTGTGTTCACCCATACAACGGTGGTTGGCATGTTGAGCAGTGGTTTACAGCTAGGCTGCGACATACACGCCTTTTCCGACCAACATATTCACTTTCAGCACTTTCCTTTAAATGTAACAATAAACTTATCTCTGAAATTATTAAACTCTGTGCCGTCTTCCCAGCTGAGGTTGGCTACAGTATATCCACTGCTGTCTTTGGGATTATTACATAATGAGCCCCCAGTCTCTGACACAGTATGATTCTCGTGCTACAAGAAAGGCTCATACAAAAAAATCAAACCGCCTGACTTGACAATAGAATGTAAGCACGCTGGTGATTGATAGAATCACTAATGTTGCGCGTTAGAAGGGAAAGTAACATTCCAGTTAATAAAGAGGTGAGGAAACTCCCAAAAGACGGTGGTGTTGGACAGGGCACACATTAAGCAAACCTGAGAATAATATAACTAGAAGAGCCGTAGTTGTGCCCCCCCCCCCCCCCCCCCCCCCCCCCCCAAAAAAAAAAACACCACGTAGAGGTTAACTAGGAAGGGAAGTTGAAGCGATAGATAAGACATGGGATAAGCTGTATGAAATAGCAGAGGAGAGGATGACGTGGCGTAAATTGGATGAGTGTTTATGCTGCACTGGGGGATAAAGGGCAGAAGAAGAAGAAGAAGATGAAAGAAATGTGTGGTATCTTGTCAGGTCCATAGTGTAGTAATAATTATGGTTGATCTTGCATTTTCTTTGCAAGGTTTAATTTATGTGCCTCATTGTATTCCATTGTTACCATAGTAAGCACCTGATGAGATACAGCAAAATATACAAGTGAATGAGCCTTCACAAAGCCTTCAGGCATATTGAGGATATACGACTAGACCTATATTTTATAGCTCAAACAGCAACCAGTCGGTTATTTGGTAAACATCACAATGACTGTCTTAACTTCCAGGACTGGGCCTGGTACCCATTCAAGGCTGGACTGACCTGGGAGTCAACATCACACTGACTGTCTTACCTTCCAGGACTGGACCTGGTACCCATTCAAGGCTGGATTGACCTGTGAGCCATTCAAGGCTGGATTGACCTGGGAGCCATTCAAGGCTGGATCGACCTGGGAGCCAACATCACACTGACTGTCTTACCTTCTAGGACTGGACCTGGTACCTATTCAAGGCTGGACTGACCTGGGAGTCAACATCACAATGACTGTCTTAACTTCCAGGACTGGGCCTGGTACCCATTCAAGGCTGGATCGACCTGGGAGTCAACATCACACTGACTGTCTTAACTTCTAGGACTGGACCTGGTACCCATTCAAGGCTGGATTGACATGGGAGTCAACATCACACTGACTGTCTTACCTTCTAGGACTGGACCTGGTACCCATTCAAGGCTGGACTGACCTGGGAGTCAACATCACAATGACTGTCTTAACTTCAAGGAGTGGACCTGGTACCCATTCAAGGCTGGATTGACCTAGTACCCATTCAAGGCTGGATTGACCTGGTACCCATTCAAGGCTGGACTGACCCGGGAGTCAACATCACACTGACTGCCTTAACGTCCAGGACTGGACCTGGTACCCATTCAAGGCTGGACTGACCCGGGAGCCAACATCACACTGACTGCCTCAACTCTTTGAGTCCCAGAGTGTTTAGCATCACAGGCCCAAGGGGTAGTCAAAAGAGACGTAAAATCGGCGCATCATACGTTTATTGGGCTTCTAGGCAGTAACCTATGAACGTATGATGCGTTCCTTGGGACTCAAAGAGTTAACTTCCAGGACTGGACCTGGGAGCCATTCAAGGCTGGATTGACCTGGAAGTCATTCAAGGCTGGATTGACCTGGGAGCCAACATCACTTCTGGAAAAAAGTCAAGCTTTTTCAGGACCTGACCCCATGACCTTTGAATCTGCAGACAAGCGTCTAGCCGCTACATCATGACAGCTCCCACTGCAAAATATGCCAGGCAAAAGAAAAGGATAATTTTTTTCATTGCAAAACTTTGTTAAACAAACTTTTAAATGCTAACTTGTGTTTATAAATACAGTTTTTACACATGTTGTGACAAACGTACATACTTTTATCATGTTTATCTGCATACTATTTTACTTTGTATTGTATCAGTGATAAATAAATCAAAGTGTTTTATTTTTCTACTTGAATCTTGCTTGTTTTCAAATAAACAGTCACATATCAGTAACACTGCTGTAACTGTAAATCTTCTTCATTTCCTCCACTTCTTAATTTTATTTCTTCTTTGTCACCTTTCTTTCTCCATGACTGATTGGATATTGCAGTTAGTTTTTCACGAATAGGAAAATGATCTAACCTGGCTGGAAGCCGCAGTGTCTGATCCCTGATAAGTTTATTGGGATGTACAATGTGGGAGTTTCCCTTTGCCACACCCATATAGGTTAAGATAATATCCTCAGTTGTTAGCAACTTTTACGTTGCCAAGAAATTGAGTACTCAATTCTGCAATACCCTTACAGTAAAAATAAAAATAAAATAATCACACAAAAAAAAAACACAACATAAGACTACCCATCTAAGTCCTTCAGACATATGCATGTTTATTTATAAAGCCATACGAGATAGTGTCGGTAACAGAATGATACAGATATATATAATTTTGTACGTGAGTCACCTGTTATGAAGTAATGCACATTAAACTCTTGTGTGCGTACATACCATAGTTCATTCAGTAATATATTATCCTACCATAGCTAGAACAAAAGATGCAGCAGAAGTACTACTAATTCAAGCCACACAGGAAGTCAGCCCAGAATATAACAGAGGAAATAATAGCAACATATCACATAAATATAACTGGCATACACTATCTGTCTTACAACTTTTCTGGAGTGCTGTGAAGATAATCTAACTCATAACTCACAACTTGCCTAAGGGACTTAATGTCTAGCATAGCTATATCGAATATTTATTAATTACAGTCCTTGCCTTCTACATTTTTTTTCCTAGCTAGTATTTCTGAGCCCCAGCTGGTCAGATAAACATGTAGATGTTTCTTGGACAAATCTAAGATAAGTGATTTTGTGTATTCTTTTTTGTAAATGTAACATTGTCTTTTTAAGACTTTTGTGCCAATTCATTCCACATTCTTATTGGCTACACTTTTCCACCTACAGCACACACATATTTATGAATGTTCTAAGGTGTTTTTTTTTCTGCCCAAAAAATATATAATAGTTTGCTGTTTGTAACACACATTAGTGCAGCTGTACTGTTTGTCAGAAATCATTGTCATTTGGTACATAAAATACAGGAATTTCAAATTTGAGGTGTGCAAAACTTCATTTCTATCTAAATTATTCACTGAGACACGCATAAAAGGCAAGGGCACTACTTTCTTAGTGTCTCCAGTAATACAAAACAATTTATACCACATATGTGCTAATCAAATCTTATGTTAGAAATTCTACAAACTTAGCAAAAAAAATATGTAGCCGGCACACATCATGTGTAAGAAATTATAACAACCCCTTCCATACATGCATCCAATGCAGATAGTATGTAAGGTTAGTTGCATATCCTTTACAGGACATTGCAGAAGCAACCCCAACAGCCAGGGGCTGTTGTGTGGTTTTACTAGGCAAATTTACTTCCAGTAGTTTGCCACTGCTTTCTGGACGGTCGGCTTTCTTATTACCACTGTCGAAACCAACGCAAGGTGTATGGCCCGCAGCTGGGATTGAACCCGGCATCCCTGCATTACAAAGCGTTCACATCGACTTAGCCACAGAGCCAACTTAGTTATGTAAGAGATACTATCAATTCCTACCACACATGTAGCCAGCATAGAACAAATGTAAGAAATACTATCAACTCATACGGCACTTGTAGCCAGAGCAAGAGCACTAACCACTACACCACAGGGTTTAAAAGTTGGCTCATGAAGTAAATGATATAAAATCAACATAAGTAACATGGTGTAACCACATATGAAATAAGGACACACCTAGAATACCTTAAAACAAGACATATGTGTTTAAACAAGATGTGATACAATTTTGTAACCAGGTAAAGGACCTTTTTCCTGCCAGTCGCGCATCATGCATATGATGTTACCTTGTATATTTTTTACAGACCAGTGGGCATCCAGTGGGTGATGTGGTCAGCCTAGCCGCCTTTACTTCCCAAGACTTTTAGGCTGGGTCGACCTAGGAAGCAACTGTAACCAAGTAGAAAATGTAAAAAGGATGCAAGCTCATGCACACATAGCACAAACATGCCTGCATGTATATGAACATAAATAATATATAGCATACACATACATATATACATGTGCATACACATTCATACATACACACACATATA